AATTAAATAAAATAATAATTCTACTATGAAACAAATGCTCATACTTGGCAAATAATATTAATATGATAATATAATTAACTTAACAGTGTTTAATACAAAAATAAATAATATACAGACAATTATCACATCATATAACAAAATAATTCATTAATCCAGACTATAGTTCATGGATAAAAGTAATGAACAACGAAAATAATACTTTGGAACATACATAAAACAATAAATAATATATCCATAGGATAATAAGAATATAATTGCAATATAATTTGCAACTACAACGAATGATACACAGATAATAACTATATAAACAAGTATGGAGTGCATACATATAATTAAATAAAACTATTAAATCAATTCTTGTACAAACAATTAATTTGCCCTCACTGTGTAATTAATACAAGTGTGAACAGTATTATAACACTATGAATTACATCAGATAGATATTAAAAGGTATACCTATATGATGATTCAAATAAAATAAACAAAACTAATATATAAAACGTTTTACCTAGCAAACCAATTAACAAATAAAACATTGAACAAATACTACAATTGCACATAGCACTAGATTAACTAAAGTATGCTAGGAGACAATTATAGTAAACATAATCTGATATATCACTTATATGCAGATTGTGTTACAATACATCATTCTTTGCAAAAAGAAAAAGTAAAGAACAATAGTCATAACATACACATATATATATACAATACTATGATTGTAACAATTCACAATAACATTGTTAATAATAAATAATACAAACACACAATAGAAATGATTTACAACAGATAACTGTGTTGGCTATTAAAGAAACAATGTGACAGATCACATAGTTACTCAGGATACATTAGAAACAATCAATAAACAAACATAATGTTAATAAATTAATACATATGTATAAACAATAATGTAAAGTAAACGAACGAACAATACATTCATGATATAATACATATACAATGCACCTAGACACATAGCAAGATGCCTACAGCCAGACATAACATTTATGCAACAAATAGACATTAGCATAAAACCTTATTGATCTTAGAATGAAGTAATCTGGCAAAAACAAATATTATTATTAATATTACAATATACAATTGATGCAATGCTTCAATCTGAAGACATAAATCAGCTATTACTGAATACTTAATGTATATATGAATGTAGACAAACACAGACAGTAATGATTAAAGAAGGATATTATTACAACATTGAATATACATTTTACTAGCATGATTTATTAGTTTCACAGCAAAGTAAAAGGAAATTACTAGAGTACTCAAACAAACTTAATAACAAACAATATGTCTGAATAATAAACAATAAAGCAAAACAAGCAATTGCATTTATAATTTAAATATGTGCATATATGTACCTATGTATGCTAACAAGATTCTACAGGTCTCTAAAGCATTTACAAATTATTTAATAACATTTACAAACAATCTATTGTAATAACAATACTGTTATTCAACAGTATACTACAAACAAACAAACTAATTAAATATACTTAATTAATATAACATCAGACAAACTTAACACAAAGTGGATGACATTCAGAATGGACAGTACACAGAACAGACAATGTATTACTACAATACTAATAATGTTATTATTAACTACATTAAGTTATAAATGTGTTATACAAACGAACAATTGTACAATACAGTTATAATGATTAAACTATCTATACATACTGTAAGCAAACATCTTACAAGTCTACTAGACCTAGTAAGAGTTTGAAGGGGAGTGTTAAGACAAGACTACACAAGAGTATGTCTCAGATGATATAAACTACATTACAAGCAATGACAAACAATGATGGAATACCTTCCATCATACATTCTACATCTGAGACATACCTACATAGTATATATAGACTAACTAATTAATGGACAATGAAGCAAGCTGTGAGAGAGCAAGCTGA